CCCGGCCTAAGATTTTCTTTAAGGCTGAATAATATTCTATTATATCAAATATGTCTTCAAGGTCCTATGTTGCATATTTTAGATACAGATTCATAAATGGAATTGCTGGTTTTGATAATAATTATATTTTTAATTATTTAAATTACAGTTATAATATTATAAAATAATGGGTGCATCTTTGTTTTTCACCAACAGTCAACCCAGCAAATTTTTTATTTTTAGTAGAGACAGGGTGTCACCATGTTGGTCAGGCTAGTCTCAAACTCCTGACCTCGTGATCTGCCCGCCTCCGCCTCCCAAAGTGCTGGGATTACAGACGTGAGCCACTGTGCCTGGCCAACGGTTTCATTTTTATGGCATCGTTAACAGATTTAGTGTTTTTAAGAAATTGATAGTGGCCATTTAAATGGCTGTTAATGGAATTTTGTTTTTCATTGTGATTTTTATTCATTTCTCTACAAAATAGTTTTGTGTAGCCTTTCAAATGTATTTTTCATTTGTGTTTTTTTAATAAACATTTATTTCAATTATTTCTATTTCTAAATAAAATTATTCAACTTTATTGTTCAGTTTTAAAAGTTGTTTATATTTTTTGAATATTGAATCCTATCACATGTGATTTGTACGTATTTTCACAAATTTTCTAGAAGGCATTATCCCTCTATTAAATGTTTACCTAGATGTGCAGAAATTTTGAAGTGTAGTATAGTTCAATTTTTCTGGTTTTTTTCTTATTTAAATGCTCATGCATTTAATGTTTTATCTAAGAAAATGGCACCAAGACTAATGTCATGTGTTTGCCCTATATATTTTTAAGAGATTAAGAAGTTATCCGGCTGGGTGTGGTGGCTGTGTCTGTAATTCCAGCATTTTGGGAGGCTGAGTTGGGTGAATCACAAGGTCAGAAGTTCAAGACCAGCTTGGCCAACATAGTGAAACCCCTTCTCTACTAAAAGTACAAAAAAATTAGCCGGGCACGGTGGCACACATGTAATCCCATCTACTCGAGAGGCTGAGGCAGGAGAATCGCTTGAGCTGAGACCGCACCACTACACTCCAGCCTGGGTAACAGAGCAAGACTCTGTCTCAAAAAAAACCAAAAAACAAAAAACGAAAAAACAAGAAGTTATCTTCTTATGTCTAATTAAGATGTTCCACATATGGTTTACGAAAATAATTGAACTTTATTTTATTGGTATCAATATTCAGTTTTTAACATTTTTTGAAAATATCATTTTTTTGTTTGTTACATGCTCATGTCAATTTTGTGGGAGTTTTTTTGGCCGTATACAGAAGAAGGGTTCATTTCTGGGCTCTGTATTCAGTTCTTTTCATCTCTTTATCTGTCTTTGTGTCAGTACCACATTGTTTTGGTTATTGCTGCTTTTAATACGTTTCATCAGAAATTATAATGCCTCTTTGTTCCTTTTCATGGGTGTTTGGCTATAGTTCATAACAAAATTTTAACATTTTAAACAACATTTAAAACAATGCTATTGCAATTTTTATAAAGATTATATTGAATTTATCTACCACTGTAGTTGCATTGATATCTTTGAAGAAATAATTTTTTTTATTCCTTAGCAAAAATATGTGGCAGAATGTGTTTTATTTTCACATATTTTTGAATTTTTAATTTCTAGTTTAACTCAGTTTTGGTCAGAAAATACAAATTATATACTTTTGGTCTTTTAAAATTTATTTGTTGTTGTTGTTTGTTGTTGTTGTTGTTGTTGTTTGGAGACAGGATCTTACTCTGTCA